GATCAACCCTTACATCCTGTCGACTGCGCCAAAATGTAAGGGTTGATCCTTACACGGTCGGTTCTCCTGGCCGTCTGGTAGAATGAAGCACTCCGAGTCGATCCCAAGCGGTCCTTATATATACGCTGGCAGCCGTGGCCTTGCCTGGCTTACCGTGAATCCTGGGTCGAAGCCTGTATGTGAATCCTGTAGAATCCCGTAGAATGGCTTCGACTCGTAGGTGACGGTATAGACACCTTACAAGGTTACCAATCCCCGTGCTTGGAGAAAATGTCGAATTCAAGATAGTGGTGCACGTAATTAGGACTGAACACCCATAGTATATTATTAGCATTAATGTTATTAATGATACCTAATGTTATTAATATTAATGCTGTTTATTAATTGCTAGTATTACTAGTATCACTATTACTAATGCTGATAGGGTCTATGTCCCCCAGGGTACTGCCGGAACGTACCCTGGTACTAAATACTACTATCTAATATGCCGGTCCGTACCTCGCCTACTCCACTAATGAGTCTAGGGAGTCGCCTACGCCTACTCCCTAACCCTAACCCTAACCCTAACACTAACTCTAACCATATCAGCTAGATAGTTACCAGGGTACGTTCCGGTATACCGGACCGTACCCAGGGTACGTTCCGGCAGTACCCTGGGGGACATAGACCCTATCAGCATTACTGCGAGCCGGAGTGTTGACCTGTCTATACTATAATAATTAATATTACTATTTGATCAACTTGTCGCTTTCCGTCCCCGATGTCATATACTACTACACACTTTTTTTTTATAAGAATCGTACTTTTCTTTTTGAGCCTCGTGACTCTTAGAAAATCGACTTTTTGAGCCTTAAATAATTGTTGAAAAAATCGACTTATATTTTCATTAAAACTGTTAAATGCGATGGCATGTAAAACGTGGTGGTTGAACGAAAGAGGAAACTGCTAATATCCAATAAAAGAACCAATGTATAACACAACTAGAAAGTATAACCCCTCCTTTTCAAAATATACCGCAATTCGTTAAACTACAGTAATATGACTTCTACGCCGTCAATGTCTTCGAGGCTAATATAGTCCTCACTCCCGTCGGGGTAGGAAACGCGATATTTATGTATGTCGTCGTTGAAGTATATTCAAGAGTGCCTTCAAACCACCCATTTTCATAATGAACTTTCACCCTACGGCCGCAAAATTCAACGTCATAGAATCGGTCATCCTCATTATCAAACCACTCGTCGCCGTCGTCATCGAGTGACAATGTGTGTCTGATGATCGAGCCTCAGCATGTATTCTTAAAAAATTCTTAAAATTTGGGAAATCAAGCCTCGATGATTCTTATAAAAATAATTCTTATAAACAAAAAAGTGTGTAGTCCTTTGGACCTTCAAGACTAATCTTTATGGGGTTATGTAAGGCTACTAATACCAAAATATATATACTACTTCAGTACTTACAAGTTACAGTTACACTGATGCAACGCTAGCCTAGAGTATGGGCCTAACCGCAAATCGAATGGAGTAACGGGTAAGCGTCCACACCTTGTACTTAATGGAAACCTGCTTCAGTTTTAATATCTATTATATATTAATTACAGATACCTACACCTAGAAGGACTTCGTTTTTATTATTCTATACACAACGACAGTACATACCCATCGCTCTTTAGCTTTTGAAGTCTACTTGATCCTGAGAAAAGCAACTCCATTTCTAAAACCGGCTTTACTTTCCGCGTTTACTTTCCACGATGTGGCGCTGGTGCGAGTTTCCGTTTCCGGTTACCAGTGCCTACTCTTGGGCGGAACTGTACTGTAGCCTGTAGGTGTAGTCTATGGTGTTGTACATAATCGGATTTTCTCCATGTACTTGTAAAGCGACTTTTAAAACTCTAGTTAATTTGTGAGTGGAATCTTTTCGTGTAACTAATAATAGTAGGCACGCACGCGCGCACACACACATGCACGCACGCACGCACACACTGCACTGTCACACACTGTCACTGCACTGTCACACACACACATGACATACACACACACACACACACACACACACACACACACACACACACACACACACACACACACACACACACACACACACACACACACACACACACACACACACACC